GTTAAAAGTTTGCAACGGTTAAAAAGACTGCTGTTTGATCTGTGTCCTTGTGCATTCTCAAGGAAACACTTCAAACACATTTGTGCGTATTTTCTAAGTCGTGTTTGCATTTAATTTTTAACGGCGATGTATCCTCTAGTTCGTTTCTCCGTGATCCATCCATCAGTTGTTTCGTATAAAAAGGAGAAAATATTGTTATTACTATTGTCATCATCATCATCATCATCATCATCATCATCATCATCATCATCATCATCATCATCATCATCATCATCTTCATCATCATTATCATTATTATTACTATTATTATAATTATTATTATTATCATTATTATTATTATTATTATTATTACTATTATCATTATTATTATTATTATTATTATTATTATTATTATTATTATTATCATGATTGTGTTTGTTATCATTATTATTACTATTACTATCATTATTATCATTATAATTATTTTCAATATTCTGTCACTGTTATTATCATCGTCATTGTTATTATTATTATTATTATTATTATCATTATTTTAAGATGAAGCCATGCCCGCACTTAGAATAATACCAGAAAACGTTTTAGCATTACGGTTTCCCCAACGTTTCCACAATTTACAAGAACGTTGCGTTTACATTATGCATGTGTTTGATCAGGTTTTCTTCACTCCGTGTTTGTCTTCCTCCTCCCCTTCCCCCTTCCCCCTCCCTATCACCCTCTCCCCTTCCCCTTCCCCTTCCCCCTTCCCCTTCCCCCTCTCCCTCCCCCTTCCCCCTCCCCCTTCCCCTTCCCCTCCCCCCTCTTCCTGACCTTGTCATTCTCCTCTTTGTTCCAATTTCCGCTTGCTTGCTTTCGTGCTTGCTTACCTGCTTGCTTGCTTAACGATATCCGGCTTGCATTTAACCGCTCTTGTCTGATTTCATTTGTATCTCTATTAACGGTTGCTTGAACAAGGAGAGAGGGAGAGAGGAAAAGGGAGAGGGGAGAGAGGGAGAGAGTTAGGAAGGAAAGGGAGAGGGAGAAAGGGAGGGGGAGGGCGAGGGAGAGGGAAAGGGAAAAATAGAAGGAAAGAGAGAGGGAGAGGGAGAAAAGGAGGAAGAGGGAAAGAGGGAGAAAAGGAGGAAGAGAGAAAGAGGGAGAAAAGGAGGAAGAAGGAGCGAGATAGGGAGAGGGAGACAGAGATAGAGAGGGAGAGACAGACAGACAGACAGATAGACAGACAGACATACAGACATTCAGACACACAAAATGAGAGCAGAAGAAAAAGCGAAAGCGAAAGAAAAAGAGAAACAGAAAGAGAAAGAAAGTCAAATGATAATTTTTCCACAGCCCTCCTCCTCCCAGACACCATCACCATATGAACAGTAAGAAAGATTTTAATCAAATTATGCAGATGAACTTCGTTGATTTTTCTTTTACTTTCGTCTGCAATTTCTCATGTCCTCGTTTTGAAGATCAAACTGTTCGCTCATCTGTTGACTTGGGTGAATGACGTAATTAAAAAAAGAAAAGAAAAGAGAGAGGGAAAAAAAACACGAAAAGGAAGAGAGATGGAAGCAGAACATACAGAAATGGTGCTCTATCTCCCTGTTCACCTTCCATCTTGACCTGAATCGTGTCCTCTCCCCCCCCACCCTAACATTTTAAAGCCCCTTTTCTCTTTCCCCTATCCCTGTCCCCGTCCCAACCTTTAGCTCTGTCCCTACCCCTTCCTCTGCGTCTGTCCATGCCCTTTCCCCTCCCTTTACCCCTACCGTTTCCCCTCCCTTTGGCTCTGTCCTTTCCCTTCCCTTTGCCCCTTTCCTCTGCCCCTGTCCCTTCTCCTCCCTTTCCCCTGTTCTTTCTCCCCCTCCTTTCTCTTTGCCCCTTCCTCCACCTCCCTACTGTTCAATCCTGTTCAAGTACCTTCCCCCTTCTCTTGCGCCCACCACCTCTCCCTCCCTCAATCTCTTCCCCTTCCCCAACCCTTTCTCTCTCCTTTTCCTCCTCCCTCTCCTCTTTCCCTCTCCTCTCCTCTAATGAGACAGAGCCAGACCCCCTCTCTCTTCTCTTTCCCTCTCCTTAACCTCCCCCTACGCATCCCCTCCCTCCCCCTCCCCTTCCCTCCTCTCCTTCCCCCCTCTCCCTCCCTCTCCCCTTCCCCTTCCCCCTCTCCCTCCCCCTCCCTCTCCCCCTCCCCTCCCCCCTCCCCCTCCCCTTATCCCAAACTCAAACGCAGCATCCACTTTAGTACAAAAAAAAAAAAAGACTCTAATGTGAAGGATAAACGGGAGATTAGGAGAATAAAGCTTTGGGGGAAAAAATAATTTTCAGATTTATTTTATTGGTCGTGACACAGGCAAACGTGGTTGGAAATTTGTGGGTTTCTGTCTCTCTGTGTCTGTCTGTGTCTGTCTGTTTGTCTTTCTTTCATTCGGGGAGACAGGAAGGCAGACGGACGGAGGGGGATACAGACAAAGACAAAAATAGAGACAAAGATAGATATAGAGACAGAAAGAGACGGAGGCGGAGACCATGGACCAGTGAAAAGGGACTAGAGACCAGGGACCAGAAACTAGGATCGAGTGACCAGAGACCAGGGACTAGGGACCAGAGACCAGAGACAAGAAACTAGTGACCAGGGACCAGATACCAGAGACCAGGGAATAGGGACCAGAGACCAAGGACCAGAGACAAGAAACCAGAGACCAGAAATTACATTCGTAACCAAAGCCAGAGATTGACAAAGAACAAAATTCAGAGAACACAGTCAGAGCCAAACCAGAGCAAGAGCCAGACCTAGAGCTAGAGAAAGACCTAGAGCCAGAAAAAAATAGAAAAAAAATAGAGAACAGACCTAAACAGACAGAGCAAGAGGCAGAACAGAGCCACAGCCAGACCAAAGAGAGAGAGCCCAGACCCAGACCGAGAGCTAGAGTCAGATAATGAGACAGAGCCATACATAGAGCCAGAGAAAGAGACAGACCCAGACCTAGAGCCAGAGGAAGGGACAAAGCCAGACCTAGAGCCAGAGAAAGAGCTCAGAGCTAGACATAGAGCTACAGCCAGGTAAAGAGACAGAACCAGAGAAAAAACCCAGAGCCAGACCTAGAGCCAGAGGAAGGAACAGAGCCAGAGAAGGAGCCCAGAGCCAGACCTAGAGCCAGAGAAGGAGCCCAGAGCCAGACCTAGAGCCAGAGGAAGGAACAGAGCCAGAGAAGGAGCCCAGAGCCAGACCTAGAGCCAGAGAAGGAGCCCAGAGCCAGACCTAGAGCCAGAGAAGGAGCCCAGAGCCAGACATAGAGTGGGCGTTGATCCGGGAATCGAGGAGCTCGCAGCTGCACCTGGATTCCAATTTGACTGTTGATTATCAATGCCTTGCGCTTCACCAGATGCCAGGGATGATAACCGGATCTGATTAAGGTTGTGTGGCGCTGTCTCTGTCGCTTTCTCTTTCTTTGTATCTGTATCTGTCTCTGTTTCTGTCTCTGTCTCTGTTTCTGTCTCTGTCTCTGTCTCTGTTTCTGTTTCTGTCTGTCTGTCTGTCTCTCTCTCTCTCTCTCTCTCTCTCTCTCTCTCTCTCTCTCTCTCTCTCTCTCTCTCTCTCTCTCTCTCTCTCTCTCTCTCTCTCTCTCTCTCTCTCTCTCCCTCTCTCTCCCCTCTCCCTCTCCCTCTCCCTCTCCCTCTCCCTCTCCCTCTCCCTCTCCCTCCCCTCCCTCCCTCCCTCCCTCCCTCTCTCCCTCCCTCTCACTCTCCCTCCCTCCCTCTTTCTCTTTCTCTCTCTCTCTCTCTCTCTCTCTCTCTCTCTCTCTCTCTCTCTCTCTCTCTCTCTCTCTCTCTCTCTCTCTCTCTCTCTCTCTCTTTCTTTCTCTCTTTCTCTCTGTGTGTGCATGTACGCTCGTGTAATATAACGTAGATATTCAATGTTAAAAAGCGTCGAAAAAGCTTCAAGTGCATATCGTGTTTCCTGTGTCTATAGAACAACATTTCATGATATCTTTTCAGCCTTGATTTAATATATATGCAAATGCGAAATGCTGTTACACACGGGGAACGTTGTTGAAAAAAGAGAGAAAGAGAGAGAGAGAGAGAGAGAAAGCAGATAATATGTAAAGCATCAGCTAACATATTCCATCTCTAGCGAGTTAGTCTCCCGCGTCACTTCGAATAAATAACACCGCATAGTGGGGTCGAGTGGCGAGCAGAGACCGCGGGGCTGAATCGAGAATCCATTTTGCATTTACTCATAACCCTACCATTCTCGGTTCTCCTGACTAACCACTATCTCGCTCTCGGCCAATTAAAGAGACAACAGGATCTCATAATTAACTCACAAAGAGCCACACGTGCAAGCTTTCTTTATATTTCGTTTTTGTCTTTATATTTCGTCGAAAATGTCGTCTAGTGAGGTTTGACTTTACGTTGTCAAAGCGACCGCCATGTTTATCTCTGTCTCCACGTAATTTTTTTGTTTCCTAATTAAAATGTTGCAATGATAGCATGATAGAATTTCTGAAGCTAAAAGAAAAGAAGATAAACTTGGGCTACATCCTCAGGAATCTCGTATTTTGTATGATTATTAATTATCTTGACTTGAGGATAAAGTGTTTATGCTCGTGTACACAACTTTCTATGAAAAGGAATATGTCCGTGTATCTCCAGTTGATTTTTTTTCTTTCAGTTTACTGCTTCTTTTAATCAGTGACTCTTTTCTTCGTCTGTGGATTGGATGAAGTGAAATTAAATATGGTTTATTTTGTATGAATATGTAATGTATAGTGTGTATAGAGGGAGAATCAAAGATATTTAGAGGATCTCTCTCTGTCTGTCACACACACACACACACACACACACACACACACACACACACACACACACACACACACACACACACACACACACACACACACACACACACACACACAATGACTGCTGAAGGAAAAGCTGCTAGAATGTTCGAATATGTTGTTTATTTTTTCCCCTAAAGCGAGAAAATGACTGATGAGTGTCTGTGTCTGGAGACGATGGCGGTGACATCTAGCGGCGGGTGGATGAACTTGTGCGGTTGGCGCCTTGATCGATGTCTGACTCGTGGGGGGGGGGAAGGGGAGGGGGAATGGAAGGATGAGGAGGGAGGGAGGGGAGGGCGAGGGGAAGGAGTAAGGAATAATAAGGCATAATAACGAACAGAGAGAGAGAGAAGAGAAGAGAAGAGAGGGAAAGAGAGAGAGAAAGAGAGAGAGAAAGAGAGAGAGAGAGAGAGAGAGAGAGAGAGAGAGAGAGAGAGAGAGAGAGAGAGAGAGAGAGAGAATAGAAAGAGAATAGAAAGAGAAGAGAGAGAGAGAGAGAGAGAGAGAGAGAGAGAGAGAGAGAGAGAGAGAGAGAGAGGGAGGGAGAAAAACAGGAGTAAGGATAGAAAAAAAAATGTACATACATAAACAAAACAGAAGTAAATAGAGGAACAGAGTGAGAAGCCAAAGCCAACAGGAAAATAAAGAAAGGAAGGAGAACGAAGAAGGAGCGAAAGAGGAAGAGGGAGAAAGGAAAACCCCAAATGGTTTTATAAAACAGGGTGATTTGCCAGAATCCTGACGAATGGGGAAAGGAAAATAGGTAAAGCCTGAAGATTTGATGAAGGTAATTGCTAGGAGAGAGAGAGGGAGAAGGAGAGGGAGAAGGGAGGGAGAGGGAGAGGAAGGGGGAGGGGGAGAGGAAGGGGGAGAGGAAGGGGGAGAGGGAGAAGGAGAGGGAGAGAGAGGGAGAAGGGAGGGAGAGGGAGAGGAAGGGGGAGGGGGAGGGGGAGGGGGAGAGGGAGAAGGAGAGGGAGAAGGGAGGGAGAGGGAGAGGAAGGGGGAGAGGGAGAAGGAGAGGGAGAAGGAGAGGGAGAGAGAGGGAGAAGGGAGGGAGAGGGAGAGGAAGGGGGAGGGGGAGGGGGAGAGGGAGAAGGAGAGGGAGAAGGGAGGGAGAGGGAGAGGAAGGGGGAGAGGGAGAAGGGAGGGAGAGGGAGAGGAAGGGGAGAGGAGAGGAGAGGGAGAGGGAGAGGAAGGGGGAGAGGGAGAAGGGAGGGAGAGGGAGAGGAAGGGGGAGGGGGAGAAGGAGAGGGAGAGGGAGAGGAAGGGGGAGAGGGAGAAGGAGGGGGAGAGGAAGGGGGAGAGAGAGAGGGAGAAGGGAGGGAGAGGGAGAGGAAGGGGGAGATGGAGAAGGAGAGGGAGAAGGGAGGGAGAGGGAGAGGAAGGGGGAGGGGGAGGGGGAGAGGGAGAAGGAGAGGGAGAAGGAGAGGGAGAGGAAGGGGGAGAGAGAGAGGGAGAAGGGAGGAGAGGGAGAGGAAGGGGGAGAAGGTGAGGGAGAGGAAGGGTGGAGAAGGAGAGGGAGGGGGAGAGGGAGAGGGAGAAGGAGAGGGAGAGGGAGAGGAAGGGGGAGAGGGAGAAGGAGAGGGAGAGGGAGAGGAAGGGGGGGAGGGGAAGAAGGAGAAGGAGAAGGAGAGGAGAGGGAGAGGAAGGGGAGAGGAAGGGAGAGGGAGAAGGAGAGGGAGAAGGAGAGGGAGAGGGAGAGGAAGGGGGAGAGGGAGAAGGAGAGGGAGAGGGAGAGGGAGAAGGAGAGAGAGAGGAAGAAGGAGAGGGAGAGGGAGAGGGAAAGTTAGAAGGGAGGAAGAGGGAGGGGGAAAAGAGGAAGGGGAAGGAGAGGGAATGAGAAGGAAAAGGGGAGACAGGCGGAGAGGGGGAAGAGGAGGGAGAAGGAGAAAAGAGAGAAAGAGCGATGGAGATGGATAAAGACTGACCATAGATAGATAGATAGATAGACAGGCAGACAGACTGTCAGACAGAGAAACAGACAGACAGAGAAAGAGAGAGACACACACAGACAAAGACAGAGACAAAGACATATCAATGACAGACAAACAAACAGTCAGACGGACGGACAGACAGACAGACAGACAGACAGACAGACACACACACACACAGACTGACAGACAGACAGACACAGAATAAGAGACCTACCTCCCAAGCCCCACTAACTGCCTGCTTTTCCTTTGCAGGTAAACATGAATGATATGTGAGTACCTTCTGCGCCCGTGTGAGTACGATCATAGTTTTGTTTGTAAGATTAAATAAAGCTTTTTGCATGCGGGCGCGTTTGGAGGGGGAGGGGGAAGGACAGATAGATAGTTTAATAGATGGAATAAAGAGTGGATTGGTAGATAAGTAGATAAGTATATTTATGTGCATGTATACATATATAAATATATATATATATATATATATATATATATATATATATATATATATATATATATATATATGTGTGTGTGTGTGTGTGTGTGTGTGTGTGTGTGTGTGTGTGTACATACATATATATATGTATGAGAGAGAGAGAGAGAGAAAGAGAAAGAGTGAGAGTGAGAGAGTGAGAGAGATTCTCTGGATAGATTAGATATTGTATGT